ATAGTAAAGGCCTACCCCTTCGTTCGGGTTTTCGATCCTGAGGTCAAAGCTGATCATCGTGGTTGTGTTGTGTGAAAAAATATGAAAATGGTCGAGGTAAAAGATGGGACGATCACGAGATAGTAACATGACGACCATATTGTACGCCAAAACACCTACGGGGCCACTCAACCATTTCATAAGTAACGAGAATACGTTATCTTGTGCCATTATGTTTCTAAGAAAGAGAGGTGAAATTTGATTCTTCAATGGACCAATATATATATATATATATATATATGTATATATATATATATGTATGTATGTATATGTATATATATATATATATGTATGTATGTATATGTATGTATGTATATACATATATATATATATGTATGTNTCTTGTGCCATTATGTTTCTAAGAAAGAGAGGTGAAATTTGATTCTTCAATGGACCAATATATATATATATATATATATATATATATATATATATATATATATGAGTAAAATACAAATTTGGTCCATTTGGTTTGTGAGTTATTACACTTTCAGTTCTTAAAGTTTAGAAACTAGAGTATGATTATCATGATTTGGAAAAACGTCTAGAATTAGTCCATTATTGTAAATAGTCGTTAAAACCCCATTATATAAAAAGCATTTTTTAGTATTTTCTTTTTCTTTTTACTTTTATCACACATGTGAATTTCGAGAGGCATCCATATACATTACAGAGAATCGAAAATCCTCCCCCTCCTACCTCAACCAGAATTGCTCATTCTTTAGATTGTATGAATTTGAACATTAAATTATATGAATTGAATATTTTAAATCGTATGAATTGATAAGTTTTAATTTGTTCATAGTTTTGATTTGTTATATATTATGGTCAGGTTTTATATAAATAAATAAATGAATTATGTAATCATAAAAATTTTGTTTTTAGATTAATAAACATTAACGATAGATTAGTGAGAAAAAATCGGTCGCTTAAAATTTCTAGTATAAATTGAAAACAAATAAAAACCCCACTTGAAAACGCGTTGAATAGATTCTGTATTTTTATTGAATTATTAAGTTACAAAATAAAAAATATATAACATGTTTAAAAAAAGACCAAGACATTTTAGGTGTGGACTTGAAAATTTGTGTTTGTTGAAAGTGTTTTGATTTGGGTTTTCCATATTTTATGAAATTCACCAAAAATTTGTAGATATTGTCGTGATAACAAGATTAAGTTATAACACGCCATCAATTTTAAAGCGTTTAAATAGATTACTTTATAAGATATATTTTTTAAATGTCCTATGACCAAATCTAGTAATTTTTTTATAGGATACTTGTTTTTACACGACAGTTTTTCAAATAACATCAGAGAAATTTATTAAAATAGTCATTTTTAAGGTAGATTTTATTTTTTAGTTATTTTCTCTTTAAGTTTATCAAAATAGTCATAGGTCGACTCACATTCGCAATTGCGGACCTAGCTAAAAGATAAAAAAAAAATACAATTTCTACTCCTGTCCGTAAAAAAAAATTACATTTTTCACCCATATCGGTAAAAAAATTTACATTTCTCATTCAGGTCAGCAAAAAAAAATTGTATTTTTCACCAAGGTCTGTAAAAAGATTTAAAATCGCGGAACTGTGACTATTTTAGTAACTTGTAAGTAAGTGGCTAAGAGATGAAATCAATCTGTAAAAATGACTATTTTAAAACAGAGATTTTTATTATTTACAAATTTAATAAAATAATTTGGGATTATTATTATTATTTTTGAGAAATAGAAACAGTTTAGAAGATTAGTATTTTTGGTGAATATTAATGGAAAAATAGAAGCACGTGTTAAAAATATTATTAAGAT